CGTGGTGGGCGCGCTGCTGCCCTGCTCACTGCCCCCGGACCGGTAACTCCCGCCCCGCCCACTCGCCAGGGCTGCAGCCCATGGCCTGTCCCCACGCAGCTTCCTCCCCCTTCTCACCTGTCGGTGGAGTCTGGCCCCAGTGGGCAGGTTGTGGAGGAGGCAGAACCTCCTACCCCCCCCTCCCCACCTCGGACCTGGGCACTGGGTTCCTGGCTTGGGGCCTGAATTTTCTCTCCTGGTTGCCCCTGGGCCCAGCCTGGGGCGGGGGGCGGCGGTGCTGCAAGGCGGGGCCAGCCAGCTGGGTGGCTTCTGTGCCCAACACCCCTGGCTCTTGGGTTTAATCGGCTCCAGAAGTTATCTGGTTACAAGTCTCCACGGGAGTGTTGTTTTTTTTAAAATCCTCACCCGAGGATATGTTTATAGATGAGAGAGAGAGAGGGAGAGAGAAAGAAACATCAATGTGAAAGAGAAGCATTGATTGGTTGCCAGGGACAGAACCCACAACCTAGGTATGTACCCGGACCCAGAATCGAACCCTCAACCCTTTTACTGGTTGCTGTACGGGATGATGCTCCACCCCTGAGCCCCCGCCAGGGCTATGTGGGTGCTTGTGGTGCCGGTGTGTCTCTGTCGCTGCGGGACAGGGTTCAAGCTGCTCCCGCCCACCCGGCTCTGAGCGGCCTGCACAGATGTCACTGACCTTGTTCCTCCGGAATTGGGGGTGCATGCGGGGGCGGGATGGTTTACCAGCTCCTCCCCTGCTGGAGTCTCAGTGGCCACCCCCACCCTGACCTGGTACACCAGCAGGGACCGAGTCTCATGAACCCCGTGCCCCCAGGGCCGCGGCCGAGCTGTGGCGCAGTCTGAGCCGGAACCAGCGTGTGAACGGGCAGGTGCTGGTGCAGCTGCTGTGGGCGCTGAAGGGCCGGGCGGGACCCCAGCAGGAGGCACTGGCAGTAAGTGACTCCAGCCGGCACCTCCGGGGGGGCTCCCCCAACCCCCACCTGGGCTGGAGGCTCACACGCATCTGTAATGAGCCTGAGTGTCCGAGGAGGCGCGTCCCCTCCTCCTGCCCGCGGTGGGGCCGAGCCTGAGCGGGCGGCTTGTTCCACAGGCCACTCGCGCCC